TAGGAGCTGCCCACTCACAATAACTGACAGGGGAGATCACATCTTCAGCTTCTAGTTTAGACAGCTCCCTGTTGACCATATCTCTCAAAGCATAAGGTACAGGACGTGGCTTACAAAATTTTGGCACAGCGTCCTTCACTACATGAAGCTTGCGATTGACTTTCTGGTTCATCAGCAACTCTGGACGCTTCCTCATCGGACTCGGGCTCGAATTGATAAGGTCAAATTGAAGCCATGTTGTCTGTTCATACACTGTATAAAATCGTCAACACTTGTTAGCCGTAATCCAGTAATGGTGATGGGCATTCCGTTTCCAATATGCGCTGCACACAGTAGACCAATCACAACAGACTGGGTCATTGGACCAATCACCACAGATTAGCGTCACGCAAAAGAGGGGTTTGGAAAAATGAATCGTTGAGTGAATCATTTGGGAATCGTTGATCAAATAAGGTAAAAATAAATGCATATTATAAGACAATGAAAGTGTTTTTTGACCTTGCATGCATGTCAACCTGTTGTTGGGGACTCCCAAAACCAAAATATGAGCCTTTCATAATCCATAATAGGGGCACTTTAACATGAATCAACAATATCATGAATAGCATTGCAAATTCTTCCACTCTCAATACCATGACACCCTTGAGCAAGACAAAGAACCCCCAACTGCTCCCCGGGTGCCACAACAAACATGGCTGCCCATTGCTCTGGGTGTGTGTTCACGGTGTGTGTGTGTGTGTGTGTGTGTTCACTTGGATGGGTGAAATGCAGAGCACAAATTCCGAGTGTGGGTCACCATACTTGGCCACTCGTCACGTCACATATTGTATAAAAAAACGAAATATCACGACATGAACCATTCCATACACTATGCAATCAAACAGTTTAAAGTAAAGTAAAGTACACAGTCACACCACTGAAAGCAGCAAGAAGAGGAACAAAGAAAAACTGCTCTACTAAAGCAACCCTTATTAAAGGCCACTAGTCACTTTAGAGCAGGAGCTAACCCTTCTCCGAGAGAGCTGCTGTGCTCCAACCCTAATCAAGCACACCTGAAGCAGCTAAACAAGGTATTCAGAGTTATTTGAAAATTACAGGCAGGTGTATTGGAACTGAATACTGGAGAGATACTAGAAATCTCCATATTTTGTTTACATATCTTTAGTCTTTTTGAGTGTTATTTTCTTTATTTGTTTCTGTTAGCTTTTGAGAAGCTCAAGGCCTGCATTTCTTTGTTAATTGTGATATTAAGTTTAGTGTCTGGTAGTAAAGCATTATTAAAGCACACCACCACCAGACATTTCTAGCAGTTACTCCTCCCTCACAGGAAACAGGAAACAATTTTTCTGTTTCCTAATAACAATTCTGTCATTTTCTGAAAAAAAAAATAAATAAATAAATAAAAGTAATAATCAAGCATTGTGTTAGTTCAGGCCAGCCACGTCAGTCAAGCTTGCATGAGCTGACACTCAGCTGTTCCTGACGTGTACCAATCCAGTTTTTACACCTATCACAATGGTCTATTTAAATCCCCATTCATTCAGCCTCTCTTCTGTTGCATGGCTGCACACCACATCTGACAGCTTTTAGTGATTATAGAGGGAGCGCTCTTTGCACACTTTCTAGGCTGTATAATTATGTCTGACTGTCTCAGAACGGATACATTAACCTCAGAGAAAGTATTGTGTTTCGTGTCATGATTTTTGTCTTGATGTTTCAAAATTACTCACTTGTGTGTTTTTCCTATGCTCACCGGTGCGAACTGCTGCGCTCTCATACAAATGCACGAATGCAGTGACTGGAGATTTTTGCTTAATAATAGATTACATTTTCAATTTGTTTCTTGGCAGATCCTACCGTATGCCTTAAGAACACTTGTAATATGGAACGAGTTGCATGGAATAATTTTATGACATTTCAATCTTTTTGTAAAAAGATTGAAGAAGGTTACAATTCATTAAATCGACAAATGCAAACTATATATATATATATATATATATATATATATATATAATGTCGTCTTTTGTGGTCCGAAAAAAATAAGGTTCAGCCTAAAATGGCTTTAGAACAGCATCAGGTTGACTAATTATTTACTTGAGGTGGGAAGAGGCAAATAAACTCTACACTATGAGAGAGAGAGCGAGCAAAATAAAACCTGAAATTTGCTTAGGGCCCCCAAATCACTAAGTCCGCCCCTGGCCATTGGCTAATACATTCTTAGATTTTACTCCCCAGTGTGTGTGTCAGAAGCTAATTACAAGAATAGCACAGATATATTTTCACTCGCTGAACACTCACTGAGCGCTTCAGAGTTTCGCTCTCCGTCAAACGATCTGTGCTGTTTCAGTTCATCTCAATGGATGTGCAGCGCACCTGTATTTGACCAAAGACTATAGAATACCCAAGACGTGTCACTCGTATAGTTTTGAATGGGGAAAAATGCAATGCTCAATCGCAGGAAGCCCTGCCTTCTGAATGAAAGAGCCAATCACTAATCGGTAAAGTCAGCGCATCATTGCAGCTGCCGTTAGAAGCGTCCCGGTTACTATAGAAACAGTCAGCGCTCTGAGACGTGCTCTTAGGACTGCGCATGCGCACTGGCTGATCTAGCCTGAAAAATAAGCTTTTTATAACGCTATTTGACCAAAAGTAACAACATTTATGACAGTTGTTATCAGATTTCTTTAGTGATTTCAAATATGAAATTGAATCGTAAGCTTAGTGAACAGTTTTGGAGAATTTGATGTTTCCCCATTCAAAGAGATAGGAGTTGCACTTGCATGCCCGAGAAGCATTTCAAAGATGGCCGCCGAGTGACATGACTTACAACAGAACACCTCAATCGCTTAGGAAGGAGTCATTCTTGTGTACATCTGCTCCAGCGGTGAAACAATGGCGGTCTGATGACAGCTCACTCAGGGCGGAGCTAAGGTAGGACACCAGTCCAGTCTGTGCTGAAACGCTACTGTCAATCAAACTATCGTGGGAGGGGCCTGCTTGTGTGACGTCACACAGACAAGCATCTGAGATCGGCTCGATTTGAGAAAGGGGTAAACATTTAACCCGATTAAAAAAAAAACACTGGGTGGATTTTTATCATTATAGGGTAGTCGTGTACACACACTGCCAACACACATTTCAGTTCAAACAACTTGTAAAAGTGCATGTAGCATCCTATGACCCCTTTAAAAGGACTTTGATTTGACGCACCGTAAACTCTAGTGTGATTTTGCTGATAGCGCTGTTTCTCACACACGCGGAAAGAGAGAGAGTGAGAGAGAGAGAGTTACATACCACACTGAATCGACATGCTACATGTAAACCATATTCTTTGTTGTTGTATTTTCCTGTCATAATAACAGAGTTCATTTAGAATTATTCAGCTTTTAAGAACAAGCAGAAGATATGCCGGTTTCTCCGGTAGTGGGCGGAGCTAATGCACACACTGCATTCTGATTGGCTGGCACTCATCTATTACCGTCCCTGTTTTGATTTCAGCAAATCAGTTAGAGCGAACGCTGACAACCTGATTAATATTCATGAACCCAGCAGCTCATCAATCCTTAGTGCACTGTATATTGTTAGTATAGTAGTATAACTACTAGTAGTATTATCTTTAATAATAATTGCTATTATCTATTACTATCATCTATTTTTTTACAGAAACCCTAAATGACCAACAATATCTTAAGCATCACCACCAGTCCTAAGTTCAGTTAAAATGACAAATGTGACCCTGGAGCACAAAAGCAGTCATAAGTCGCTGGGGTATATTTGTAGCAATAGCCAACAATACATTGTATGGGTCAAAGTTATTGATTTACAATATACTTCAAAATAATTGACCACCATACCATAACACTGAATAATTGGTTATGAATCTTATATGTGTGTGCTCAAATAAGGCATGAAGACATGACCAAAAGATTGTTTGTGAAAAGGTGCTATTAAAGCTATTAAAATAGGTGGGGTATTTTAAGCTCTCCATGACTTGAGCAATATCAGAAACCAGCTGAGGAAAGATCAACAAAGATGAAAAGTCAGCTATTTAACTCATAAATATATTGTCCACTTATTTTGGAGTAATCTGTTACATGATTGAGTTGAAATTCTGACAGTGTTTTAACAAATATAGACTGTAAATGTCTGACAAGATTGAATGTTGAATGTTTCTGATGTCAAAAATATTTTTTTGCAGAATATGTGATGAGGGTTTGCAGACAGGATGTTATGATAGTTTAATTTGTAATTAAGTAATTAACAACATATGTTTTTAGGTTAACTAAAAACAGGGTCAACAGTGTAATTAAAGTGACGTGACGTGGCCAAGTATGGTTACCCATACTAGGAATTAGTGCTCTGCATTTAACCCATCCTAAGTGCACACACACAGCAGTGAACACACACACACACACACCAGGAACACACACGTTGTGCCATTTATGCTGTGGTGCCCGGGGAGCAGTTGGGGGTTCAGTGCCTTGCTCAAGGGCACCTCAGTCGTGGTATTGAAGGTGGAAGAGAGCGCTGTACATTCACTCCCCCCACCTACAATTCCTGCCGGACCTGAGACTCGAACTCACAACCTTTGGGTTACGAGTCCGACTCTCTAACCATTAGGCCACAACTTCCCCCCCCATTATAGATGTGACTACAGAAATTAATTACAGATGTAATTACAGGAATGTATTTTTCAATGAAAGTACAATGTAAAAACATGTATGTACACAATAAGTGCACTGTATCAAATTATCAATTTAAATGTAAGTACATCGTAGTTAAAGACTAGATACAAACAATAGTAAAGCAAAAACAACATCTCTCGGGAGAATTTTTATTTATTTTTTCATCACAAGCACAGATCAGGCAACACTGTGAGATAAATAGCAGAAGTAAGAATTTAAAAAAGCAGCAGAAAACTGTTCACACCCCCACAGGAAACTACAGACATAATAAATGAGTCAGTGTGAGCTGACAGAAACAGAAAGTACAACGCCTGAGATACAAGATCAAGGATCATTTTTAAAAATACATCTAAAAAAAATAAAAAAATAAAAACTTTTTCAAAGGTGATGTGCTTCCAAAGCAAGAGGCTGGAGTGATGTATAGATGATGAGCTTATCTGCTGAAACGTTATCTGCTTTGGGTTGAGAGCACATGCTGATGGGTTGATGTGTGTTCCTTTCAGAGAGGACAGTCGAGTACTTCATTTATACGGTAAGATACTCTTTTTATACACTTTTCATTGGGTACATCAAAACAAAGCTTGTTAGCAGAGGTAGACCTAATGCTAAACCTTAATAAAATAATGCTAACATATTCTTCTGAGTAGAGCGAAATATGAGTATGATGGGTTGACATGCATGGGCATCATTTTTACATGCTTTCAAAACTCAATAAGGCTAAACATGTTCCTCTCCGTTCTACAGTCTGACAGAAAGATTCATTTTGCTGATGCTTATGCTCTTGTAACACAGACTCGCTCATTAAGTTTATGTGAACTTGAACTACATTTTTGAGACACAATACATACTTTGGAAATCGAGTTGAATCTAAAGACAGCCTTAATCACAATGTTAAATAGTATTAATGAGCAATATCACACTCGTAGACATGAGATATGGCTGTATATTGGCACAGCTGTGATTCGGCCGTAGGTAATCACAGCGTACTGATATACAGCCATATCTAACGTCTACGAGTGTGATACTGCGTTTATACAATGGTTTGACGGCACGAGTGTGTAAATATATAAGAAAAACAACAACGTGTGTCTTTAAACCCCTCTTTTGTGCTGAACTACTTCCTTCCGCCACAGATTCAGATCTCAGTTTGACAGTTTAACTGCTGAGATGAAGACTCCGTTACTAATTCGAGAACGTTACTTTAGAACTTTAGTAATGAGTGTGATTACCTGCATCTGATCCAGCATTCATTCTTCAGCTCAATCTCATATTCACAATAAAACATTAGTCTGAATGTCCACTGAGGAAAGCGATATCTTTGTCGTTCTATCTTTCATATGTTAAGGGTGATTTGTTAACTGCGTCTTACAAGCTGTTATTAAAAGTAAAATAACTTCCATTTCAGTCTCTTTCAATATAAAAGTCTTTACTGCTGACTCGTAAAACAGTCTCTTGTCGCCATCTGATGGTGGAACAATGTCACTTGAATCACCATCAAGAACACACACACACACACACCGTTTCTCAATACTAAATACTATTATGAATATAAAATAGTATTTATTGAATAATAAACAACAACAACAGCCATCATAAAAGTTGATAGACAGTTCATTCAAAAGTACAAAGGCAGCGCTCTGATATACATTATTAAAGTTACATAAAATATAAAGTGATGAAATTTTGCGTTCAGCTAAAACTATTTGTTCTGGAACAAATAATAGATTATTGAGACCAAAGATTGCCCGTTAGAATTACCCCAAATAAATTATATCTCATGTTTAACCACTATAGAGACATCAGAGCCAGCGGTGATTTCCAGAAGATCTGGCCAAGGTGAGGCTGCTCTCGACAGGTTCATGAGCGCTGAACGGCTGCTGACGCCCTGGAGCTCACATCTCCGAAAACGCCAAAGCACATTTTCAAATACACATTACCGCATATTTGAAGTCTAAACAAGTACATTCTCGCCTAAAAAAAACTCTTAAAACTACATTCCGTGACACACAAACAGTATTATTTTAAAATTTTAGTGGATTTGGGCATCCGCCATGACACTCGCTGAGAGATTACTGGAAGCGGAGTGATACAAACAGTGAAAGGGTGTTCCTGTGGCGATACCAGTACAATATATCATGGTTCTCAACCAATCAGATTTGAGAACCGGAACGAACTGTTGTATAAATATTATTAATACTACTACTAATGCGTCTAATAAAAGATTAATTAGAATAAAATTATTCAGTTGATTTAGCCAAATGGGTGACAATGGTTGGAGAGAAAAGCCTAAAATAAAAAAAAAGACTCAAATCTCAAATGGCCTGGGTTGTGCTCAGATTCTGGGTGAAGGGTAAACAGACTCTCAGCTTCTTCTGTCCATTACTTTACAGTGAACAGAGTCCAGGAAATATGTTATTTTTTTCTTCCTCAATGTAACTTCTACTCTGTTAACCTTTATGTCCCTTTAAATGGAAAGGTATTTACAAGACAGTTTATAATAATATTATTTTAACCAGTCTCTTTCCTTTCTTACTTAGATCTAAATTGTACACAAAAAAGCCTTTTTTTTTCTAAAGTTTAAGCATATTGATCATACATGTTGTACTAATCAACATTTCTAGATATACCTTTCATATTATGTATAACTTTTTACAATTATTATTTTTTTGTCTTACTGATTAACTTAATTGTAATATTGGTGCATCTAGATTTTACAGATCAAAACAATTTGCTTGTTATGTGTGTTTGTAGGATTTCAACATGTAACAATTTATACAGTCTGAAAAAGTAACATCACTCATCAATAATAATTGCAGTCAAGTGGGATGATATGTTTCTGTGAAACGCACTGGCTGATCTAGTGCAGTAATACAGTGCACACGTATGAATATGGAAAGTCCCATACTGAGAAAAATTACATGGTCTCATCGTGAACCTTGCACAACACCCACAAACTGACACACAGTCTCCGAAATCAAAGAGGAAAAAAGAGCTGCATGTTCATCATACGGAAACGTGGCCCACAAACCAGTGTCTTGTTGCAGTTGTGAGGGGGACCGGGTCACAGCTAGTGTGTGAGAGGTGGAAGACAAATATGAAAAACAAGATGCAAAACAGTACTCATATCTCATTCCTCTCCAAAAACACAAACCACACATCCTGAATCAGTAGGTCAGAAATGCAAATTGTGTGTTCAGGATTGACCTGATAGTTTTCCTTGTGCTCAGTAAGGATGGGGAGACTAGCATCTCCTCAGGTCTCCTCACAGAAAGTCGAAACGGGGAGCAAGGGAATCCATCGAAAACAAACTGTGTTTCATTTCCGAGCAAAGACAGTGTTTTTTTTTTTTTTTTTTTATGGTTCCAGATTTCAGGAGTCTCCTGTCCAAAAGGTAAATGAAATTAAAGATTGCTCTTTTTATAATGATGGTAAATTGTGCTAGTTGACAGATTTGTTTGGAGCTCCTTGAATTCAACCCACTTTATTTTATGCATTTGTTGGAAATAAAATTATATTAAATATGAATAAAGTGTGTGTGTATCAGGAATCATGTCTTCAGTTACTGATGCCACTATATTTTTATCGTCCATTTGAAACAAATCTACAGTTTATAGGTAAGGAATAACTGAAGTCAGGCTGTTGAATTATTAGAAAAATACTACACACCCAAGGTGATGATGCGCTCATTAGTGAAATTTATATCGCTTACCTGCATGGGTATTTATTGAACAATACCGGGAGCACTTGTGTAGTGGAGATGTACAAATAAGGAAAAAATAGAACTGAAAAAAAAAACAAAAAACTTAAGTACGTCTGCAAAACAAACAGCATTATATATTTTTTTAGTTTTACTTTCTGATTATTTTTGACACCTCCGCTTCACAAGTGCTGCTGGTATTACTCAATAAATACTTGTTTTGTTTTCCCCTTGTTGATTTTGTGAAGTTGCACCAGAACACCCATACAACACTTTTACATGGTTATTAATATGAATCACTGTAAAAATGTAAGCTTTAATTGGAATTTTAACAGCTGCATATATAATTACATTCAATAATTCTTAACAGATAATTGGAACAGTGCTCATTTTAATGACAACAGTTTTCTGTTGTCATCATGATTTCTGTAATACAGCCGTTTAATGAATCATCGCTAACACTGAATACCCCTTTTAGCTTTTATATAGATATTTTCTTTGTTTGTTTGAAGTACTTTACTGATCATCTGACTTCAAGAATCAGCAACCTGCATACTGCACTGAATTTTCACTCCTGAAATTCCTGGTGATATTTTATTTATCAGTTATGTAGCTAAAACGGTTAGTGAGTGTGGAAGAATACATAATCTGGACTTTTAATGCCTAATGCCACAGATATGTTAAAACTGCACTTAAAATATTTATTATCAAATACTATGAAAAAAACACACACACACATAAGCAACCTATAGCCTGAAATATGTGTCTGTCAGATCTATCAGTCAAACAGCATTTTACATTACAGTATGGCATGTGATACTGTAAACAGAGGCCTTACCATGGCAAATACTGCCACATTACTGTAAGTCATCCTTCATCTGTGAAGGTCGACTACAGTATAGATTCAGTCACATGGCATACTGTGAGAACATTTACTGTATTGGCAGCAAACCTCATGACCGCGTCAATGTAAGAGTGTTTTCTAATGTGGCATCTGTAGCCTACACAAACAATGATTATGTGGACTGAAAATATGCTTAACTGTAATGAAAGTATTACTAGTGTGATCAGTTGGTATTTTTGCACTAATAATTTTGAAAATGTATACCTCTAATGTAAAAATTGCACCAAAACGAATGAAATAATAATAATGCAGGCATGTCATCTGGTGAATAAATATATACATCTTACTGCATGCACATATGATACATTATTCAAAATAGAACTGTTTTATTCACAAATATGCCTCTGTTTGTACAAAATGCTTCACGTTCATTTAATTCTGACTTTTGCAGATACGAGTTGCAGTTAAGTATAGCAATGTACAATTGTGAATTTTTCAAACCGATGAGTAGATTAATTAATTCATATTCATAGAACTGGGGATTGTTCATTTGTAGCTAGATATGGGTTTCAAAATACTGAAAGCCATACTAAGAAAGTCTCAAAATCTGAATCAAATAGGATAGACATTGATGAATACATGCATGTCACCTGATCCACAAATGTCTTGTTGCATGCATAAATTATGATACACTAATACAAAAGAAAACACTTGAATTCACAAACATGTCTCCATTCGTACAGTTCTCTTCACATCCATTATTGGTTGTGTGGTAAGCTACATTGCAACATTTGTCAAGTTCACAGATAGCTGTGCATGAGACTAATGTCATCCCATATTTCCTTCCTCTGTTAGAATGTAAGAATGCTTGATTGTGTCTAACTAGAGCATCTCTGCTGTCTTTCAGAACAGGACACGACTCTCGTAACAATGTCAGAAGACTCTGAAGAATCTCTGGGATTTTCGCAAGGATCTTTTAAATAACCTGATTTTGATTAGCGATCTGAGTGCTGAGAGGTGTCTCACAACGTGTGCCATAACAAAACTACAGTGCTATGCCAAGCTGAACCCTTGTAGAGTTAGCGGGAGGACTCTTGGACTCGAGTTAAATGAGAGGAAGATGAATGCCAGTCACATCTCTTGCAATAACACTACTGAGCACCAAGTAACGTCAATACAAGAATATCAGCATCACATCTATGCCATCTTCTACACTGTGATTCTAGTTCCTGGACTGATCGGCAATGTTCTAGCGCTCTGGGTTTTTTACGCCTACATAAAGGAGACAAAGAAGGCTGTGATATTCATGATCAACCTGGCCATCGCCGATCTGCTGCAGGTGCTATCACTACCTCTGCGCATTTACTACTATTTGAACAACTCGTGGCCTTTCGGTGATGCCGCCTGCATGCTCTGTTTCTATCTGAAATACGTCAATATGTACGCCAGCATCTACTTCCTGGCTTGCATCAGTGTGAGACGCTGTCGCCTCATTATCCAGCCGCTGCGCTGTGGCGCCACAAAGAGACGGCAGGACCGCGGCTTGTGTTTAGTCGGGTGGTTCATTGTGTGTTTGGGATGCCTTCCGTTCCCTCTTCTACGAAAAAACCCTATCCCCAATACAGCATTCTGCTTCTCTGAGCTACCCATGATGCAACTCAGCAAAGAACTAGGAGTGTCCCTGGTGACATTTGCAGAGATCACGGGCTTTCTTCTGCCGCTGGCTGTAGTCGTCACCTGCTCGTGGCTGACCGCGGCGAGTCTGCGTGAGAAGACCTGCGTGCTGCAGGACACTGGGGAAAAGCACAAGGCGCTCAAGATGGTGTTGAGTTGTGCTGGTGTGTTCCTGGTGTGTTTCGTGCCCTATCACATCACTTTCCCTTTAGACTTTTTGGCCAAATCAAACTGTAACGTCAGTTCTGTTTTTAGGAACGCAGTGCTCCACGCTCATCCGATTACCTTGTGTCTAGCGAGTCTGAACTGCTGTCTGGACCCAGTTATGTACTACTTCACCACTGATGAGTTCAAGCGGCGTCTGTCCAGGCCAGAATTTCACGAAAGTTTGCCGTTACAGCACAGAACTTCTTTCTCCACAAATTCAACAGGTCTAAACCAGACAGACAGAACTGACTGAGACAGCACAGGGAAATTGTTTTAAGCCACAAAATAAAGCTTTCTGTATGTACAACTGATAAACTCGAAACATTTTTCTTAAGAAATTCATGAGAAATCTTCATTCTGCATTGAAGGGGAATGGGCAAAAGGGCATTTATTTAACCAAAAACAGGAATGTGAGGAAATATTATTATATTTAGAATTTTCTACTTGAATGTATGTTAAGATGTAATTTATTTCTGTGATCAAAGCTGAATTTTCAGCATCATTACTCCAGTCTTCAGCGTCACATGATCCTTCATTCTAATATGCTGATTTGCTGCTCATTGCTCAAGACATATTTCTGATTACCACAGCTGTGAGCTTCCTATTTTTTGTGGAAACCAAGTGTGCTGCACATGACCTGAAAAGTGAAGCCACAACATTTTGATCGCCGTCTGGTGTCTGGCTGCAGTATAAGTCATAAACCCCACCCTCTCCATGTGAACGGATGGGACGTGAGCCAAACTGAAAAAAAAAATCAAATTAGAGATCAAATAAATTTTCCCAAAGGAGGTTTCCATCATTTTAGTTAGTTCTTATAACGCTGATGTATTTTCAAGTGACCATTTTTCTTATAAGTTTGCTTTTAGTTCGTTATTTGGATACTATAAAAAACGGGGTGTGGCGTCATGATTGTGAGCTTGTGATTGGGTCTGTGGGACTTTGATAGCGCGGCTCCAGCTCACGATCAGTACTGCGCAGATTCAGGCTCCAAATGACTCCATTTTCTCAAGATGACAGTGGCCATACTGAGATGTTTTGGCTTAATTTTTCTATAATGGAAGGAAGAGGAGATGCGTCGTCCATCTTTTTTTACAGTCTGTGGTGGAAACTGTGATACATCTTTCCAGGACTCTTTGGTGAACAGAAAGTTCAAAAGAACAGCATTTATTTGAAATATATTTGTGTGTGTGTTTGTAGCAAAGTCTTTACTATTACTTTTGATATATTTCAAGCAATAAAGTGTTACAAAATCTAATGCAAAGAGACAGTGTAAGACTTGCTTCAGGCCAGGGCCGTGCACAGGGGGTGTACCAGTGGCTAGAGCCACTGCCCCTCTGCCCTCATTGGCTGAGGTGCCCCTCTTGAACCCCCAGCACTCCCACCCCCTCTGAACGTGATTGGCCCTCCCAACACCATTGGGCTAGAGTACTGTTAATCTGACAATGCCTAATGCCATTGGATCAGAGCGTTGTCAATCACTGCCTGATTCACTGCCCATTGTTGCCTGTACATTTGATAATGCTCAACATCACTGGATCAGAGCACTATCAATGCTTTGGCAATGTAAAGCCTTTTTACAATGCCAAATAAGGTTTCTGGAATCTGAATCTGTCATTCACTGACAGCGATGGGAAGTTTTTCAAATGACTCGACCAAAAACCACATCTCTGTTCATATGGTACGTAAACACTCAGTAATATATTTTGGAATATCACCCTGGTTGAAATGAGTCAATATTTATTCTGATTACTTTCGTGTGACTGAATCAGTTATTATATGTAGCTAGTATGAGTAACAAAATGCGTTCCCTGTGTCCAGATTTGACCGCAATAATCAGTGTTGTGCAAGTTACTTCCAAATTGTAATACATTATAGATTACTTGTTACTGTTATTTAAAAGTAATTCCTTAACTTACAATATTACTGTCTTAGAATTGTAATGCGTTACATGACTCCTGTATTACTTTTGAGTTACTTGCA